CGTATCTTGGTTTGTTTCTCCCCTGCCATCTGAATGCCTTAGGATAGGCCCTGATACGAGTTCTTTCTGTATCCAGCATAATGTACACTTGGGATGTGGCAGGTCACCAGGTCTTTCTCCTAAGAAAGAAAAGCAGCTTCAGCATGAGCACGTTCCTAGAAATCCTGTCCTTTTGTGTATAGGGGAGGTGAGTGTTGGACTGCTGGGGGTGTCTGAAGCCCAAAATTGCAGTGTTAGCGTCGGAAGTAGGACAGGATGCCTGTCTCTCTCACAGCCAAGACCCTTCCTGCAAAGACCCTCCATCCACCACTAGGCACAAGGCTTCAAGACCGCTTCCATGTAGATTTTCAGGCCACTGGGAACTTGGTGATTCTTACTGGCCCTTTCCTCTCCGTTCCCTTTTTTCCCTCTGACCACCTTTCTTCTGCTGTCAACGTGGTTATGCCTGGGAGTGTCTTAGCAGCAGCTGTGGCAGAGCAGGCTGGCCCATAAGCCCTAGCAAGTGCTGGGATTGCCGGCAGGCAGCTATGTTGTGCTGTGCTAAAAAACCAGACAACTTCCTATGTTAGGGCACCTGCCCCTCTCAAGAGTTTGTGTCTAAGCTTGGGGAGGGACTGGAGTTAGGAGCTTAATAACTTTGGACCATGGGCCTTCTAGGAATCCTATGCCAACGTGAAGCAGTGGTTGCAGGAGATAGACCGCTATGCCAGTGAGAATGTCAATAAGCTCCTGGTGGGCAACAAGAGTGACCTCACCACCAAGAAGGTAGTGGACAACACCACAGCCAAGGTAAGCGGGACCGGGCTGTGGCGGCGGCTGTGGTGGCAGGTGTGGCCCACTGTCCCTCATCTCTGTCTCCTCTGTTCTCTCTCCTTGTCAGGAGTTCGCAGACTCTCTGGGCATCCCCTTCCTAGAGACAAGTGCCAAGAATGCCACCAATGTTGAACAAGCTTTCATGACTATGGCTGCTGAGATCAAAAAGCGGATGGGGCCTGGGGCAGCCTCAGGAGGAGAACGGCCCAACCTCAAGATTGACAGCACCCCTGTGAAGCCAGCTGGTGGTGGCTGTTGCTAGGAGGGGCACTTAGGATGGAACAGGAGAGGACACCTTCTCCAGATGATGCCTCTGGAGGGGGCAGGAGGTGCCTCCTTCCTCTCCTAGGCATTTGAGTCTGTGGCTTTGAGGTGTCCTGGGTTCCCCATCTCCCTCTGGCCTATCTGCCTGCTGCCCTGAGCCCTGGTTTTGTCAGGGTCCCCAAGGGAGGACACATAGGACCTGTGGCAAGGGCAAGGATGGGGGCTGCTCTTAACTGCTGCCTCTAGGTACCTTGGAAAGATGCCCCACTGTGCGCCTTCCTTTGGAACGAGGGCTCCTCTTGTCTCCCCTTCCCCATGTATGCTGCACTGGGTTTCTTTTCTTTCTCTACCCCCTCCCAAGAGCTGAGGCCTCCCTGGCTTCTGCTGTCCCCAGCTGCAGTCAGCACCTCGGGTCAGGACTGTAACCAGAGGAACTAAGGCCTGGGATCGGATCTAGGGCCCTGGGCTGGACCTCAGGACTGGTATGGGGTACAGGAGCCCAGCAGCCCATCCTTTCCCTTGCCTCTCCCCATACCCTTACATTCATAGCTCAAGCCGTCCAGCTGCAGTAGGGTCCGAATGCAGCTAGGGCAGGTGGGTGGGAGGCTGCACTGGGCCTGTGTCTTGAGCCCAGACGGAGCCTGCTCCTGCCACCCTTTGCCCTGTCAGAGCCAGGCCCATGTGCTGCCTGCCCACCGTGGCCCTTTGTGCCTAAGGCAGACGGAGGCGGAAGGCCCACCGTGCCAGAGGACAGGCACTAGCCTTAACCCTCACTCTGCCAGCACCCCCCTTTTGTTGAGGCAGCACATCTGGTTTATTTTTCCTCCCATTGCTTAGAGCTGAAGCGGGCAGAGCCTCATCCCTGCCTCTTCTCTGGGGAATATGGGTGCACCCCAGGGTTGGGGGCTGCTCTGCTCACCCCCTGCTCAGCCAGGGATCCTGGCCATCTGCCCTCTGACACAGCTTCTTCCTGCAGAAAACAAACCTGGTCTCTACCTAAGAAGCCATGTCCCTTGTGCTGTCTCGCTTGTCCCACCCGCACCCTGCCTCCCTTCCAGCTTGTATTTAAGTCCCTGGGCCACCCCTTTGGGGCCTTCACTCCCAGGTTTGTTCCCCTCTGGTGTCATGTCAGGCATTTTGCAAGGAAAAGCCACTTGGGGAAAGATGGAAAAGGACAACAAAAAAATCAATAAATTTCCACTGGCCCTTGGGTGAGCCGAGGGTTTTTGCAAGGACGTTGTAGTGGCTGAGTGTGGTCTGTGGTCTTGGCATACCTGGGAGTGGGCGTGCAACTAGAGCCCTGGGTTTGGTGTCTTGCCCTGGGGTCCTGGCTTGGGCTTACTGTCTTGGGGTTGCTGGCAAAAGCCCTTGACCCACATACTGGGGCCAGGAGAGCTGCGTGTGTTGCTGTGGCTGTCCCTAAGGGCCCAGCACCGATCTGTCGGAGGAAGTAGGCAGGCGGCCATCAGTGAGTACCCGGTGAGGCACCACCAACACAGGCACACATCCAAGACTTTGGAGTTGGACAGCGGCCCTAAAAAGTCAGGGCCGGAGATTGCAGTGTTCTCCACAAATGAGTCCCAAAGCACATATTGAGAGCACACCCCTTCCCACCCCTGGGTTCAGCACCCTACCCCACTTCTGTCTTTTGGCCAGGCGCCTTTGAGTGTGCACGCACCACTGTGGCAAAGTGTTTCGCGCTTAAGACTCAACTGAGCCTGGGGTGGAAGCGTTGGGAATGTGCAGGACAGAGAGGCTCTGGTGAGATGCTTGTGTCACGCGGAGGCTGGGTTCTGCATACAGGTCTAGATACTCCTGCGGGTGCGCGGCAGTAGGCTCGTCTGCCCCAGGTAGTGTGGAGCAGGCAGAGAGACCCGCGCGCCAAGCCCCAGCCCCGCCCGAAGCCGCTGAACGGCGGCCCCGCCCCCGGCTCCGCCCCGCCGGCTTCGCGGGCTGGAAAGCGAGAGAGCCGCGGGCGAGGGATCGCAGGATGTGCGATCGGGGCCCGGGCAGCCGGCAGCGGACGCGCCTCCCGAGCCCACTGGCCCCACTGGCCCGCACG